GAGCAAAAATTTGTGAGATAACTAGTTATAATGGTAATTAAATAAAGTTTACATATGTATAAAAGCCTACATTAAAATCTGTCTTATAAATTGGTCTCTTCATTAGAAATTAGCCTACTGATTGCCACCATTGATGGACAAAATGTTTTAATAATATTAAAAATATCTGTATGGCATTATATTCTGCAGTTCTTCCCTGTTGTACCGAATATCTATACTTTTCAAATGATCATATCGAAGTTAGAAATTCAAATATTGTGACAAAATTAATTTTGTAGGGTGCCACAAAAAGACGAAAAAAGGTTGGGAAACACTGATCTAGCCACAAGTTTGTTTAAATTTCCAAAGGGTGCCGTGACTAAAAAAAGGTTGGGTCAGATAACTCATGCGTGTGCACTAGTGTGTGTTTGCATCAGCCTGCAGCTATTTTAGTCGAGTGGAAACACGGCCCGTCTCTGTTCTCAGAGCTCTGCTGATTACTGCATAGCTCTCTCACGCTTTTCATCATGTTTATTTGAATAATTTCATGATTTCTCTTGAATGTTCACTATGCAAATGTTTGTGTCAGTCTGTTGTAGCACAACCTCCTAAAACCTTACATTACTTTACAAACCAACTGGTTTAGTGTGTTGACAGGCGGTGATCAGTTAGGCCTTTAGTATTTTCATCTCATAAATGTGTTTAGGCCTGGATCAGTGATGCATGTTGAATGATCCGTCAGTGTTTTTAGGATGCGTTCATTGATGGGAGGTGTGTGTGTTTAATAGATGTGTGTGTCTTCTGTTGTTCTGCAGGGAGATTCAGCTGCTGAGACGATTACAGCACAAAAACATCATCCAGCTGGTGGATGTGCTGTACAACGAAGAGAAGCAGAAAATATATCCTTTTACACCGTGTGTCTGAGAGTGTGTCAGAGAGAGTGTGTCAGAGAGAGAGTGTGTCAGAGAGAGTGTGTGTCTGAGAGTGTGTCAGAGAGAGAGTGTGTCAGAGAGAGAGTGTGTCAG